ACTCTTAGAAATGGTCTGGATGTAGTAGTAATGAAGTTTCTCTGAAAGGCTGGCTAAATGCAAACTTTAGGATACATTTGGGGGTGAATGTAGAAGTGTTGCGGTATTAAATCAAAATCTAAAGCTTCTTTTTGGCTTCCCAAATAATGAGTTAGTCCTATCAAGAATCTCCTAATTACACTTAAATACTTGATTATTATTTGGTGCCTTAGTTGACCTAGCACCTTGGAATTGCCCCAGGAGTCTGAAAATATCTAAGATGATCTAGACCTAGATGATCRTCTAGTTAGAAAATTGAGGGGTGTAAATGAACATATAAAAGAAACAGTAAGTATGATCATAAGGAAGAGTCTAAATTGGAGAATAGCATYATTACTGTAGCTTGCATTCCTGTCCTTTTTGTGTGTTTGTTAGCTTTTCTATAGTGCGAAGATGGGAATTRATTTGGAGTTACTGTTAGTGTGCTGAGCTGTCTATATCACCTCTAGATTTGGACTTGTCTCTAAAATACATGGTTTTTTTTAGAGCTACCACATAACAAGAATATTGTACATGGCAATACCATACTTCAGTGAATATAATCTCTTACTTGCTATGAAAAGTTGTGTTGGTAGATAGGTGCTACTTCCCATGTTTGCTGTATGCTTAATCAGAATGAAAGGATGTGCAGACTGCTGCAGGACATGTAGTAACACTGCGTAAATAYGTAGCACTAGGAAAATTATCCTGCTAATTCCTAATGCATCCAGTGGAAATACTCTAATCTCATAAACAATATTAAAGTTTTCCATAGTGTATTAAAGTATGATGTAGTGCTTGCACTCAAATAGTTGATAGCATGCAAGTTGATAAGGCAAAAACTGTTTAGAGAAAGTGAGACAGAAGCTCGCAGGCTCCCTGGGGTGTACGTGAAAAGGAGATGGGAGTGTCAGATGGTAAACCCTGCAGAAGTCATTGTTTCCTTTGACACTTTGGTTAGGAAAGGGAAGGGAGCTTCCATCTATCTTAAGGGCTTGTTCAGGTAAGCATGGGCTATTTTTTAACAATTAGGAGCAGTTATGTATTTGAAATTGGCTTGGTTTGTATTATTTTGATGAAATGATAAAATTCAAATATAGTAAACTGAGTTTACCTGGAATTCTTTAAATTCTATGAGTATCTTACAAATTAGAAGATATAATTATAGTCACAAACTGCTTATCAGTGGCTTCCTAGCTTCTCTGTTCATGGTTCGTGCCCAGTCACTGTGTTTCCAAACCATAGCCATGGCAGCTTTATCAGGACTTACGTTGCAAATTTTCTTTATGTACCTGTCTTAGACAGCCGTTTCAGGTGGGGACGTCTCGATGGATCTTCTTGCTTGTCTTTGCCAGATTAGGGAGGGCCAAGGGCTTTGGATGGCAGAGAAATTCAACCTTGTTATTACCAATGAGTTTCCTGAGGATAAAGAAAATACTTAAATGTATTTGATTCCTAAATCCAATCTCCACATTTTTGAGATGGATGGTAATTTATATTAACCTATTGTTAAATTTGTTCAATTATATGATGGCTAATCCTTATCAGAGAGTTAGAAGACCAGGCTTACAGTAGAGCTGCATGAAGAATTTGTTGCCTTTCTTAAAGTCCRTTAATGGTTCCTTTGTTTTGTGGTAAGATACCCCCGTGTGAACTGAACTTTGTCTTCATGTGCAGACCTAACTCCACATTTTTATCAGGCTCCAAGCAGCTGAAGGATTTCCCACCATAATGGATATTTTTATTTCTTCTTTTTCCTTTCAGAGGAAGTGGGAACGGGCCAGAGAGAGGCAGGCTCCAAAGGGGCCTTTGTCTGAAAGGCCGTGGTGGCCACATGTGCAAACCCAGCATGTTCTGTGGGGCTCTCCCAGCTCGGGGCTCTGGCTTTCCTMGCAAGGTCCCCTCTGCCTGCTGGCAGTGCTCAGCCCTTCCGTTTGTTTAAGTTCTTTAAGCTCAGTGGCAAAACAAAACAAAGCGAAAAACTGTTTCATCAGAAGCTGAGCTGTTCAAACAAACCCTGGCTTTGTGTTCTGTGCTTATCTGAAGTGCTCCTTTCCCCTGGGGCTTGATGCTCTCTTTAACCTGTGATTCCCAGAGCCCTGTCAAAGGAGAGGACTGTCTGATGCCTTCTGCTGCTTTCGGAGGCTTGCTCCTTCTCAGTCCACTTCTTCAAGTGCTCTCTGAGTAACACTCCGATGAAATGATGTACCCGTGATTTCCAAAAGCAGCCTCATAACTGAATGCTGCCCCTTCTCCTGTCTGCCTAAGGAAGAATCACAATGCCTGTGCATATTCCACCTATTTAAAGTTATCGAATAGTTTATTTCAGAGTGTTTCAGTCTTCGGCTTTTTTTTTTGAAAAAGTCCTGGATTACTCATTATGAGTTTGCCAYTTGATATCCTCAAGTATTTGGTGGAACTTAGAGATCAAATTCTTGTTGCTCTTACTTGGCAGCGTCTAACCCACAATTTTATAAGTCAGGTAAAAGTACCTGTCATTCTCATTTAAAATTCACTTCTTGTACATTAGGTCAGGCCCTTGAGGGATGTAAGTTGATATCTCTATGTACATCTAAAATCACACCTATTGTGATTTGTGTTGTCTGAGAATGTGGACAGCTTGTAATTTTATTGATTTATATATAAATGCTGAGAACCTAAACATTCCTGCAGCATTTACCTTGTATTTGACTTTTCAGTAGCATTAGTTTGCCCTTGTTGGCAAAATAACGTGTCAGTTACTTTTGTGACAGCGACATAAACAATCTCTATTTTGTTGTGATTTTCCTAAGTGGGATTTTTAGCACAAACTTTAGTTTGCTTGAAAGCAGCTACTTCAAGGTGCCCTTTCTTTACTCAGGGCACTACTTCAGGAGAGGATTGCCCTAGCAATACCTTATAGGAACAGGAGCTCAAAAGAAATTAGTTTGTCTTGATGGAATTAGTGAATATGGTAGGGTTTAGAAGCCAGATTTGTCCTGTTACCTCCTTGTCTCAAGATTGGGGGGCAGCAAGGGGAGCAAATTTACCAAACAGGCTCCTTGCAGCTGAGGGATTCCTCAGTGAGACTAATTCCCTTTGCCCTTGGCTGAGGCACCGAATTGCTTTCCCCATTGCAGTGCAGCTACCTGTGTCATGGGGTGACTTTAGTATGAAAACAGGCATGTTTCTGTGTTAGCTTTCAGCCGTGCATCTTCACGAGTACCTACATTCCTTTATATATTGTAAGCACTGCAGTAAACCTGCGCACTGTGGATGCACAGGAGGCCTTTAAAATAAAGCCCTTTTTTTTCTGCCAGACAGMTAGGGTCAAAAATCTTTCATTCTCCACTGAAGTTAGAGCTGTTTGGTAAAACCATCTTGTTTACCCTCTGAAAAAGTCAGCGAACRGTGAGGGTGAGGCTTGCGCTGCAGTGCTCGGTATCGCAAAGGCTGCTAGGCCCGTTAGCGCTAACTTGCAGCGCTACAGCTTGAAGTGCTTGGAAACAGTTTATTACAAAACTAAAACAGGAGATAAGCTRGTAAAAAATACTAAATAAGCCCCCATAGAATTGAGGGGAATAAAACATTTTTGGTTGTTTACATTGGTGTGGAGGCCTATCAGCTCATTAGGCCGCTCTGTTCCAGATGCCGTCAACGCGAAGCGCCGCACTCTGCTCCTAGCCCATCTGATTGCTGTGTTCCTTTGTCCCTCTTCCCGCTCCAAGAGGATTACACAGCTCCCTTGGAACTCCCGTGGCCGCTAGGCCTCCCGCCTTGCCGTCTCGCAGCATTCGTGCACTTTTCCCAAAGCTGACCTTTTCTCATCTTTGTAATAGCAACAGGCTGTGGTCTCGTGAGGTGACACCAGTTGGCATAATCTACACAACATGCTCCAATCCAATAAGCATTACGTATAGCTTCCTATTTTTACTACAAATAAGCCAAGCAGTACTCGCCCAACAAAGCGCCACAGTTACTGCAAAGTCTAGCTTTTTGCTTATCTTGTGATAGCTAGACTCTTATCTTAAAGAGGACCAAATAGATACTGTGTGGTGTTGCTCCAGAAATCTTGTACTTCTCCAAGACTGACCTTAGTTCATACTGGCCAAGAACCTCTGGTATTTTGTGTTTGTTTGTTTTTATGTCACTGTGTTCTTGAAAAGGTTGACAATTTGGCTAGATAACCRCTGGTTACAAAATACCATGTCATATTTTTAGAAAATGTTGCACTATAATTGTATCTCCAACTTAAAAAATATTTTTTGTTCAGTGTTGATATTTTTTATATTTCCTCTGATAATTTACATAAATGTGTAAAATTATATATATAAGATACCTACATTATATATGAGTAAAAATGTAAGTGCTAGATGGTACAGAGGTAATTACCGATATCACTCGTTAAAGTTAGATCTTCTTATAATTAGAAATTTGTCTCTGAAACCATTTGAGTAAAATATCATCATAGTTTAGTTATCTTTACAGAGGAGTTTATTTTAGCTGAGAGATAAAAGTTAAGAGAAAATCCATACACTCACACTAAGAAACATACTTAGAGAACAGCCAAGGCACKCAGTAAAAATGGAAAAGTTAGCCTGTCTTTAAGCAACAGTAGAAGGTCATTGATCTTTTCAGAAAGAACAGGCTGACTAAATAATAATATCTGCACCGAAACGTGAATCAGAGATGCCAGCAAGCTCTGTATGAGTGTCTTGCTCCGTAGCTGGACAGAGCTGGAGTTGCAAATATACTTGATGCGATTGTCACAAGAGATGCACGTGAACTGGACAGGGACTGCACGGAGGGGAAGAGAGGTCATTTGGCCACCAGGCAGTCAAGTACATGTGGTACAGGCAGTCCTTCCTCACATGTTAGAAGCAAAAAGGGCCACAGCCTTTTCGCTTCCTCCTCTAACACAGTGTAAGATCAGATAATATYGGGTAATACTAAAAGCAATTGCAGCTGAAGTCAGTAACAAAATCTTTCTGTTTTTGTTTCAGTTATTTGTCACCTTCCATGCATGAATGGAGGCCAGTGCAGTTCTAGAGATAAATGCCAGTGCCCTCCGAACTACACTGGGAAACTTTGTCAGATCCCTGTGCAGAATGGTAACACTCCAAAACTCTACCATCATCCGCAACAGGTGAACAAGGCCGTAGGATCACAAATCATCCACTCCACTCATACTTTACCATTGACGATGGCTGGACAGCAAGGTGTAAAAGGTAAGGTTTTTTCCTGATATATATTTTTTTCCTTTGAAGTTGGTTTTCTTTATTAATTTGGGGTAACCAGTCTGTAAGGCAATGGCATCTGCCTACATAATTTAAATCTTGATACCTCATCTTCAGTACAGAGCCTACCATAATGGCTAGAAAATCTTTTCCTTGATKTTTGGAATAATAAGACACACAATGTTATTGAAAGGAATTTATAAATTAATTTTACCTCAGTTCACAGTGGAATTTAATGCAGATTGCAAAGTTTGTAAACTATAATGAAAGAAAGAGATCAGCCTGCTTCAGCTTTCCATGCATACGTTACTGTGAGGTGGCAAGGTGTGATGACCTTCAGGAAGGGTACTGTCTCTGCGTTTCCTGTGTGTCCTATGACTCTTCAGGTTGCATTTCTTTYAAGGTGAAATCCTGTCTATACCAAGTCACACTTACAATTCAGTCCCCAGATTTCAGAATTAAATTGTGATATACTTGGAACTGTCAGATTGATTTTTCTTGTCATGAGTAAAACTACAATCAGCTTTTCTGTGTTACTACCTCTGAGGAAAAAACAAAATAAATTGTCAAGGATTTGAGGAGATGTAGTTGTTCGTAGGTAGCTCTTGAATAACTGTGCTGAAAGGAATCCAGACTATTTATACATTTGTAATAAATATCATCTAATGTAATAATTGACTTTTCAGAAAGGGACTATGAAGCTATGAAGGAAATGTTGACAATCTTCTTGGAAACATGATAATTTATGAATGCTTCTAAGCATCCACTCCATTTTTACAATGGATTTGTTCTCTAAGGGCTGCTGCACAATCCCATGGAGAATAGTTTCCACTGACCTATTGTGGAAACAGAGAATTGTGGTGATAATACCAGATAGAAGGAACCAGATTAAATTTGATAATGCTTCAAAATCTGAACAKCTTTGGGTAGATTGGTAGATGTTGGCAGAGCCACTCAGTGATGGTAATACAGCCTTCAGATATATCAYCTGAAGAAGATAGTCTGAGGGATCCATTTTTTCACACGTAAAATTATGCATAATGGTGTGAATTTTGTTCTTGTCATATCAGTACAGTCCTCTAATAGCTGAAAAAGGGCATTACTTCTAATTCTTGTAATGCTGAATCTTTTCCCTCTGCACTTCACCTGCAACAGAACTCATGTGGCATCACATTTTGCCTGAAAGTTGTTTTCAGCCCCAGGCAAGTTGTGAAGAACCAGTGAGATGCAGGAGTCATATTTTGCTTTACTTTGTAACTTAATTCCTGGTGTTTCTTAAATAAAACACTGCAGAGCATATCGAAAATAAGTTGCTACATCTTTTAAGGAATTTCCAGTGAGTCTAATGCATGCTGAAAATGCCCCTAGAGGAAATCAGCTGGGGGAAAAAAAAAAAGCAAGCAACTCGTACACTGCAAGATAATTAAGCATCTAGAATAAAATGAACTTTGCTTCCTGGGACGTGGAGATATGAGGCTTAAATTTGCAAATAAAAACTGATTATAGAAGCTGCAATCGTAGCTTCTGGAGGCAAGAGAGCAGTTCGGAAGGCTCAACAAGCCGCCGTGTGTTATAGGAAAAGCCTCTAGTGTTCCGCAGAATACTCCCTGAAAGGGGACCCRCAGCCAGACACAATAAATTTTAACTTTGCTTTGTAGCTTACAAAATGTAAAACGTTTTATTCCTCCCCTCCAGAAAGAAATATTCAGCTGAATTACAGGTTTTAAGGGCTTTTTGTGCTTTGATGAAAAGGGCTTAAGGCTCATAAACAGTTCTGTTGTACACTAAATGAGCAGATCCTCTGAATCTATATGTCCAAACTTAAAACTCCAACTGTACTTAAAACCAGAAGTATCTGAAAAACATTTCCTCCCTCTTTTATCTGCCAAGTTCAGAATGCAAAGTTCAGTGAAGGGAGTGGTGGTTTTARATGGTTGAGATGTTGGCAACTGTTGCAGGGGCAAACGCAGGACTTGGCAGGTATTTAAAGGTGAAGGGATGAAATCTGAAGCTTTTCCTGTGTTCCAAAGAAAGATGATGGATCTGAAAAACAAAATAAAGCTTACTATATATCCAAAAATAACCTAGTAGAGTTTGAATTCTGGAACTTTGAATGGGATTCTTTCTATGCAGTGTGACCACAAATATTAATGTCACAGCAGCCAATTTGGACATCGATATTTTTGTAGCAATCTTTACAATAATTTCCTGTAATGTCTGTCTTTCCTATATGAAGAGTTTTCATTTTCTTGCTTCTAAATTAGACACCCTGCATTCTTTCATCCCTTCCTCCCATCTCCAAATTTGGGCTTCATTTATATTTTGTCACACTATTTAAGGTACTCTATAAAAATCGTAATGTAAAAAAAAAAGTCTTGGAGATGTCTGTGATTGTGTAGCATATTTTATTACCAGTTTTTCTTATGTGTTTTTCCTTCAATTGTTTTAGTGAAGTTCCCTCCTAACATAGTGAATATCCATGTGAAACATCCCCCTGAAGCCTCAGTTCAGATCCATCAAGTTTCAAGAATCGACAGCGCATCAACAGGACAAAAACCAAAAGTACCTCAGCCAGGACATCCACAGGTCTCTTACCAAGGTCTTCCGTATCAGAAGACCCAGAAAGGACATACTGCTTACACAAATCAACAACCCATTCCTCATGTGTTTCCTGTTTCAGTTAAAACTCAGCTTGGGCGCTGCTTCCAGGAGACTATTGGGACACAGGTAAGAAAAGATGAGATATCTTTTGTCATTTGACATCTTTTCCAATAGAAAAAGAATTTGAGAGTGGACTGTGAAATGTTGTTTTACAAAATACCATTCTTCTGTACTTCCTTCTCCATTAAGCTAATGTTCTCGTTTAGATCTTAACTAGACCTAGATCTTAACTTACTGATTTCAGGTATTCTAGCAACAAATTCTTTGTTTTTAAGCTGTTTTTCCAAAAGAAAACATGATTTGAGCCCTAGCTTCATTTCTTGTGTTTGAGCTACTAAGGTTATGCCTTCATGTTCGTACTATGTTCAAACTATACTCTGCTTTAATAAGTCTTTTTAGATGTGCATCTCTACAGCCAGTACTTTGAAAGGGGGACGGTTTTCACTGGTATTCTTATGCAACAATTTTGAATGCATATAGTACTGCAGGACAACATTTTTATTTTGTTGGAATATGACCATTGAATAGAGTGAAAAGTCATGAAACAGAACAGAGGATGCCCTGAACGTTTAAAAAGTTTACTTCAGTTTAAAATAAAATCTTCATTCCAAGTGTCTTTTACATATGCCTGTTCAAAAATTAAGCTAATGTTCTCGTTTTCTGTGGACCAGAAAACTCTTTCAGCTCTTGAAATCACTTTAGGAGGTGGTGCAGTATTGTTATTTTCACATACTTGCATATATTTGTAACTATGCAGAGAGAAAGTGTATGAGAGGAGATTGCAAAACTGTTGGATTTTGGTCTTCCAGATTGAGAGCAATGGCTGTACTTAAGCTTTTTTTAGCGTTTTGGTTTTAAGATCTTTGTTATCTTTTGCTTGTCACCTTGCCAAATCTAAATTTTTCAAACTGAAATACTTAGTGATGGATGTGTGCCGCTGGCTGAAGTCTTTGGTGAGATTTCAGCAAAAATCATTCATCTGCTTTGAGAAATGATGTTAGAGAATGACTATGTTGTTTTACTCAGGCTAAAAAAAAAACCTCTTTCATTGAAGATTTGTATCATCTGGGTGCTATGAGCAAAAACTTGAAACTTGGCCAGAAAGTCACTCTGCTTTGCGCTTTCCAGTAACATGTACCCAAATTTGGCAAGTTCCCAAGAATCTAAAACACTGGGTGTATTTCCAATATATTCCACTGATAGTTGTTAGGAGTTAGCAGCTAAATTCTCCAAGGATCTCATGTGTACACAGCAGGATCTGCCTTTGCCTCAGAGAGAGAGAGAGATTCTCTCCTCCCTGAACTGCAGACCTGGAGCGGACTGTCCTTCCCAAGTGGTTCTTCTAGCTGCTGGTGAGTTCTGAGATCCTTTGAGCTGAGAGCAACAAGGGCATTTCCTCAAGCTATAAAGGCTCCCAGGCAGCACACAAGAAGATAAGGGGGACAAGACTTCAGTGAAATACAGAGGGGCAGGGAGCATAGGGGGAGGATCGTGATGGGGGACACACGGAGCAGATGGAGTCAGAAGCAAGGTGAGAGTGACACAGGTGGCAGGACACAGCAGCTGATGAAAACCAGATAGACACCATGGTTCAATGTCACCCTGGTTGACATCAAACAGATKGAAACCATGATTCCTGAGTCTTTCCAGTCTGCCTGCTCCAAAGAACCGTGCGTTTTTCCTCTAACATTTTTTTTTCTTATTCTTATTTTGGCAACTAGTTCATGTAGACTATTGTAGTATGTCTAGTGACATAATTAACTCTACTTTTAAAAATCATTGATATGGATTTAAAGATACCCAAATCTGCTGACACAAGACATTTTTATTATAATGTAGAAAAAATAATAATTCTGAGAAGTGCTATAGGAGAAGTAAATTTAAACATTGTCAAGCATAAAAATGTCTTTAAAACGTCAAACTTAAGTCTACATATAAAACATTAAGGTTAGTATTCACTAATTGTTCAGTGTTTAACTTTGAATCAACAGAATTGATTTACAGTGATGAGGTCTTTCAGCTGCCTATTCCAGGAATAGTAAAAAATTTAATTTGCTCTTTGGAGGCCTAATTCTGGCAAGTGGAATTTCATGCTGGAATTTCAACAGGGAATTTATGGATTTTACATGATAAAGCGAATCAGAACACATGTCAAACAATCATTTCTTTTTATCTCTTGGGAAGGAGGGATCTAGCAAACGTGGCAGTACCACATAGAATCATGAAATTCTGAATTTATTATTTCAATTGGTGCTTCATTAGTATTTATGTGTATTTTTTTGTGCCCTCATACACAGGAGAAGGCCACAGTCCTTCCTCAGAACCTTAGAAATGACAAGGCACTTGCCACTTCCAAGAAGGTGATGGGTGCTGCATCTTTCATCTCTTACTTGTTACAAATTTCCTGTCGGTTCTTTCTGCCCGGTGCTGGAGCCAGAAATTTTGAATCATGTAGCCAAAATTTGCAGTGTGCTCTGCAGGCACCTCACATTACAATGGGTTTTAAAACCAAGCCTCACACACTTGTAGACAGTAAAGTGCTCCAATTAATGGGAGAGGAAAGAGGAAATCTGCCTGCACTGACCTCATGCCTCACTGAAATCCTACAGGTACTCAGTATCCAATTGCTGTGGTATACTTTTCCAGTACTCCCATGAAACCCTGGGTCTTTGCAATGGTCTCAGGGAAGGGCAGTGTCTCCTGGTTTAGAATAATGTCTATTTTCATTTTTTCCAAACTCAGTTTGCCCATTCAGTGTCAGTTTAGAAGAAGAGTATAAAAGTTTTTTCAGGGGGACTTACTTAATGTGGTAGGATGACTTTCCAGATTTGAACGAGAAATTTAACGTACTTTTCCTGCAGTCAGACAATTAATATTATCTATCTGTATATTTTAAATATACCTTGAGCTGGGCAAGGCTTTTTTTTTTTTTTTTTTTTTTTTAATCTTCAGATAGGGCTCTCTTCTAGAAGAGCTTAGTTTTCTGTTTATTTGCTATGCTAAATGTGAAGAATCTCTTCATTTGTTTAGGGAAGCTGCTAAATTGAGCTTGTGCTATYAGTGGTAGTGAGTTACAAGTCCTTTCTGGAGATTATGATGGATAATTTTGGTATCCCTACTTAATCATCCATGTTTATGCATTTTTTTGCAGGGTGGATTGTACAGTTGGCTTCAGAAATGCTTTATTAAATATTTTGGGTTCAGAGGTCACTTTACTGTCTATAGAGCAGACTGATGGAAACATATGTGTGTGGCCTCTTTTAGGGTAGTCTACCAAGTTCATGACTTTGCTAATTCCCATTCTTATTCTGTGTTTTTAGCCTTCRCTAGGAGTATCAGAACCTGTACTGGGAGTTGTGTGTATGGAGCCTCTACCTTTTCTAGGTTTCTTGCTCTCTTTTCTCTCCATTTTCCTCCTGTACTTCAACTGATCCTCAAATTACAGGTGTTCTATTGTTTATGCTTCAGTTTTATTTCCCCCACAATGTTTCCTGGAACATTTTTCATCTCCCAACACATTCTTCCTCACCCCTCCTTAGCTAAATTCCTGTAATGTATCTCATTAGAAAACATTAGCCCTGTTCACATTGTGGGATGGATGCTCTGTTCAAATATCAAGACATCAAGAGCCTAATTTTTGCAGTCTTGTTCCTCAGCAGCTGGAGCCTTCCTGATCCAACACTTGGGTGACACTGAGGTCCAGACAAGGGAAGAATCTGGTCATTTTCTCAARCCTAAGTTTACTCCTACTTAGCAATGTAGAGTACCCTTACTGCCTCATTGTCTGTAATGTCAAAAGTAACTATAACCAAAAAAAGAAGAAAAAAAAAAGAAAAAAAGAGAGGAATATAGCAGTGACCTTACTGAAATGTGARATGTCCTGGTTTGATGGAGACAGATTAACAGAGATGCTGTATGTTTCCATATATTTGCCTGCACACATTGCTTGATTGGAACTCTTTTATGTAGTGTCAGTATTGAGGACAAAAGTGGAAAGAGCAGCATATCTTTTATTTATCGTGTATTTTTTAGAAAGTAGCATATAAAGCAAATAGTTGTGTTCTGGCTGATTCTTTTTTCTGACGAAGTCAATTCACTTATGCCCACTGCCTCTCTGAGTGGAAAGCTAAGCAAGTATTTCATTTCCAGGAGAAATAGTGTTTGTTCCCTWATAGTTTTTCATGTTATGTGATGGTTTATATGCAATTTTGCATAAAATGAGCATGGGTCATCAAATGATTTCCTAATATCAAAAGGATTTTTGCACAGTATGCCATAAATTTAGCATGAAGCTGCAGTACAGAAGTTGATTGTTGCCACAAAAATAGTTACCAAACCTTTACCTAAACTTGTACTTTAATGTGCATAAAATCTTCATGAGAAAATGAAGACTTGAGGTTAGTGAACAGTTGTAATGGAAACAGTAGGACAGACATCCTGTTCATACAGGATGGAGAGCAGTAGGTTTGCTGACAACACTGTGCATGGCAGTGGCATCAAAAGCTGGAGGGTGGACATGGTGACCTGCCAGGTCCTTTCCAGCCTTGTATTTCTGTGTTTCTGAAATCCAAGGAGTCTGTCATCTTTGAGCACTGATTCACTAAGGCCTATTTAAAAAGCAAGCAAATAAGGAAGGTTCTTGCCCATCTTTAAATCCCTCCTTTCAGCTGCTTTTCATTTTAATTCTAATAAAAATGCCTTTATTATGACACAGAGTATCTTGTTATTTCCCAAAATACTTTTACGGTATCGGTGGTGCACCTAGTAAAGCTTGTGGTGCCAATCAGTCCTGTTAATTTTGTGTGTGATGACCTTGCCTTTAAGTTGATATAGGAGTGGAGAAGCCAAATGTATCAAAATTCATAGAAAGAGAATTAAGTCCCATGCTTTTTCCCCCTTAAGTCCATCTTGAAATCTCTTTTAAAGTCATTTTGTGTTTTCCTGTAGTCACTAACTTGATTTTGTCTAAAAGAAACCCCGTCTTTCTCAAAATTGGTTGGTGTCCTTTTTGCGTAACTATAAAGGGAGAGGAATTGTTTTTTTGCAAAGCAGCAAGAAATCAGAGA